AATTCCCCAGCCAGCATGGGGGTTGGGGAATTCTGGGAGTTGAAGTCCACTCATCTTAAAGTGGCCAAGTTTGGACAACACTGGCCTAGAAGAATTTGCTGGTTGAAGCTAACGGCCGGCTTTTCCTTCCTGCCCCCTGCAGGCAGAAGCCAGATAACTCCACAGCCGTGGTGGGCAGCGCCAAGGGCCGGGGCCAAAGCCGAGAGACGTTACAGGAGCGGCGGAAGAAAGAAGCCAGCAAGGGGACGAGGGCGAACCACAACAGACGCGCCATGGCCGACCGGAAGCGCAGTAAAGGCATGATCCCATCTTGAAGTGGTGGTGGGCCAGGGAGGTCCAAGTGAGCACTCTGCCCCGAGAGAGCTCTCCTTGCCCTTTGTGAAGATGATTTTCCTGGGGACGCGCAAATCTGCACGTAACAACAGATAATTAGAGAGAGCTGCAGTAGGGCTGTGTCGAGTGACTTGTGGAAATTGCACTGTTGATAGAGAAAATGCTTTTCTTTAAATTCCTCCTCTAGAAACTTTGCTGTTTGTATTGTCCTATATGTTCACCTTAGTCCTGCTCAGAAGCCAGCTACCTTGCTGGATCAGATTTCTTCTACTGTGGGGATCTGTTTCTGAAACCTGCTAGCTATGAAGACCACAAGGAAGGGTCAGAAAGCATGAGTCTCAGAGGGGGAGCCCTGAGCACCCTCCATAGGTAACACCGTTCATCTGATTTGCACAACTTACAAAGCCAGGGCTGAGCAAGTTTTTCCTCATTTGAGTGGTCTGGCAGCCAGCTGGACCAGGTCAGAAATTTGAACTCAATCTGATTTTCTGTACATTTGAATTCAGTTAGCCTTGCTATTACAGTTGTTCTTCAGTCATGCATTTAATCTCTTTTCCCTGGTGTCCCAGTAAACATTTCAGTTTGTTCATCATTTCAAGAGGGCTACCAGGGCCATAGCCTGGATGTTCAGGGTTGTACCCCTGTGCTAAGCATTATGTGGCTTCTCTGGTTTGATTGTGTGAACCCAGTCTTTGAGAAGGCAGTTCCAGTGTTTGTCCTCTGCCGTGTTGTGTTTAGATATAGATGACTCCTGGACTTTGAAGAGACCCTGCAACCTTTCTTGGGTGGAGGGCTGCACGTGGATTTTGAAGAACATGCTAGGAGCTGCACACGGATGTCCATCCAAACCATTTTCAGGCTTTATTTAAACCTATCATCTCCTCCAGCATAAATCAGCAATTACATGTTAGACCCTGCAAACCCAGCCTGTGTGGTTAGTTTATGGTTCAGTGTTTCATGTAAGCCTAGAATACTGGGTTGAATAAACCGTATAAAAGTCTGACTTTGTTCCAGAAAACCAAAACAAAGTTACAAGAGAAACCCCAGATAGATTGCTAGTGATTTTCAATTTGAACGCTCACTCTCTTGCTTTAAGCCCCTCGTGATCATCCTTGGGGAGTCATTGAATTAGATTACGGCTCAAATTCTAGTTTTACGCTCTGTGCATCAGAGTGTATTTCACAACTGGGGAAGAATACTTCGTGTTCACTTAAGGCAGGGTGGGTCAACCTGCAAACTGAAATTCCCACCTCAACATTGCAGTGCCAAAATTGTGATTAAGAGATAGATAGGGTTAGATAAGGACTGTTTCCATTCTCTCAAACAAGGAAGTCAAATTCACTCTCTTTCTGCTGATATCTTAGCTTCAGTGAACATTTTCCTGCAACCTAACAGAAGACCCAGAGGCCCAAGCTGTGATTCTCAACTCCTCAAAAGTTGTCTAATGTGATTTACTGGTTTAGGGTTCTTACTAACACATAGGGCAGATCTTTCCTAATCTTCCACCCAAACTAACACAAAATTAATTGCAGCATATTAGCATCAAGGCACAGTGTTATATGCCCTACCCCCGTTCCCTATTGAGAATGTTCACAATTCTTAAATATCACCCCTCCAAAACAGTGTGTGCGCGCGCACGCATGCACACATGGGGAAAGTTAAGTATTAAAGAAATAGAACAGTCAGCATCAATCAAAACAATCTTGGGCAAGAGGTGAGGCAGACAGCCCAAAAACTACTGTGAATGTTTAATATAGAAGTACCATCAAGTGACACTTGAAATAGGAAGATCAAAATCAGATATGAGAATTGTTATGCCGGAGTCTGTTATGTCTAGCTGGCATTCCATCCAGAAGCCCTCCTGCCGGAAGCAAGCGTATGATCAGTTTTGTGGCATTTGCTGTTTATTGCACTACAACTTCTATGCTCGATTACTGGACTGAAATAACCAACAGCATTTGCCAACCAGGCACCAGAATATTCTGCAACTTCCAAGTAACGGACCCGTATACAATATACTTGTCTTAAGAGTGCATTTTATTAAGTTGCTTTTCAGCAAAAAAAAAAAAAAAAGTCATGCAAATCTCTTCATCACTTGGAATAGTGTCCTCTGGCTATCATACAAGGATGAACATTTGCTGGTTTAACAGCTGGCGACAAATAAAAGGGCTATTAGCGAAGACAGCAGAGGGTCCGACAGGAATCCAGGGCTGCTGTGCCTCACTCCTCCTTCAGCTCATATTTGTGCTTGATGTCTTTCCATAGTTTCTGCAGAGCAAGAGACACACAAGCGTGAAGTAAGACATGGATGACACTTGGGGATGCCTGCTTGTGACTAAACAGAATATCATCAGTTGCCCTCTGGGGGAGATGGGCAGTATATACATTCAATCAATCAATCAATCAATCACCCAACTGCAGCCATTCAGGATGCAGAATGGAATTCACTAGCATATTACATACCTCACACTCTCTGCCTCCCCCAAAGTACTTAGGTTCATAAAAGAGGAAAGTGCCTTCAAGGGTAAGAAGATAATGTGTGTGCATATATTCCATGTGTGTGTGTATACATACATACATATTTATATATACACACACACCATATTGCTATGCATGTATGTGTGTGTATACCTGTGTTTATGCATATATATGAGAGCCAGATTGGTGTAGCAGTTAAAGGCACCAGGCTAGAAACTGAGAGGCTGTGAGTTCTAGTCCTGCCTTGGGCACGAAGCCGGGGGGGCGGGGGGGGGCTTGGTCCAGTCACTCCTTCTCAGCCCTGGGAAAGAGGCAATGGCAAACCACTTCTGAAAATCTTGCCAAGAAAACTGCAGGGACTTGTGTACACACACACACACACACGTATATATTCTATCTATCTACATATACATGCGCATATATATGGGGTGTATGTGTATAGACAGAGACTACACACACACACATTTTGTTGCTTGATGTGCTTTCTTCTTTCGCTATTTATCATTTTCCTTCGTTCTGCCTTACTGGATAAAGACCAAAGGAGAAAGCACTAACGCGGCAAACCCTCAGAAAACTGCCCGCGATCCCCGCGTGCTGCTCCATCCTACGACACCCAGCCTCGCTGGGGCTGTTAGCTGCGGCCGCAG